TTTACTTTAATAATCTAATTAATATAATAAAATCACGTTTTATACCACACTCCCTATGGGATCGACACTTGCTCATCACTACTACTTGTTGGTAGGAGTAAGTCGAAAAAAATTTTATAAATATAAATTGGCCACGAGACGACGCGCGGTCACATGTGTTAAAAAATATTTTGAATGGATCTTGAACCATTAATGTCCGATAACATAGATTTTTCAGCAAAATTAACGACAATGTGAGAAGCAAATACTTTTAATTAAAAGGAATTTTGAAGAACTTCGAAACAAGTGCGATAAATCATATAGTGTATAATGAAAAAAATACATAAAGGAAAGTGATATCACATAAGAGCATCTACATTGGTGCGTTAATATGCCATTTAAACGGGTCTTTCCATCATTTAAACCAATGTGGCCGTTCATTTAATAGACAAAAACTGGAGGGCCCACTAGTTTCGTTCAATCCTCTTAACGTCAATGTAGAGCATAAAAAATAGAAATAAATGTTCAATTCCCCCACATAACACATAAAGTGGTGGGACCATGTAATTATATATTATTTATGTTGGCCCACAATTTAGTTTAAATGTATTGATAGGAATGTGAATGTATGTTTAAATGGAAAGATGTTTAATGAAAAGATGATGTTGATGAAAGAGAGTGTTAATTTTTGATTGAATGAATGGGGAGGGTTGTGGATGCCCTAACTGCTATAATATGCAGGTTATAACGTATGAAAACAATATCAATATAAAAGACTGATACTTTTAGTCGCATATTTAGACATACAAGATGTAGAACTTCTTTCTAAACATCTTATTGGTCGTCACTTAAAAGCAAGATGTGGAACTGTTTTTCTTCCTGACTAAATTTAGTAATTTACTACCATTATTAGTTTTTTTTTTCTTTTTGTTCAGACCATTTAAATCTATTGTATCTTTTTTTTTTTAATTCTTTTCGTGTTGAACTTATTTGGATCTTATTTTTTTTTTTTTTAATATTACACTTCAGTTGCAATATCATAGATCTATTTCAAAAATAAAGTACTCCCAACATTTACGTCGAGTTGGAGCAGTGACTGAAAACAGTATAGATTTTGCAGTTGGGGCAACAAAGCTTCACACAATTAATGGCATACCATGATGCATTTATGAGTTGTTTAGGTGTTGGTAGTTCTATATTATCGCACGAGGGATCATACTCATATCAAGCATGCGAGTCTTTTACTAGGATCGTTGATGATCAAACCGCAACTTATTCGGATGTTCAAGCATGTCCGCTTGTTCATCGTCTAGATCTGAATTGCACTTTTCTAATATTCAAAATCTGACTCTAGATATGAATTGGACTTTTCTAATCTAAGAATTAAATTGTATGTTCAAGCATGTTAGCTTGTTCATCGTCTAGATATAAACTAATTAAATTCTATAAATTTTTTTTTCAAGTTTTTCTTGAAAATTCATTTTTTCAGGGCATCTTTTGGCCATATAAAGGCGTTAAGGATTTCCTGGATTTCCTAATCTTCATTTCCTACTAGATAATTATGATATGATTATTTTAGAAAAATGTGCATTTTTTTCTTGATTGTGGGTTATATCATGCGTTTCATGAATTTCGTTTTACAAGGACATTTAACAATCTCTTGCTTAATATCATTGGTTATTTTATCTTCTCTTGGTTCTAAATATTACTCTCTTCTATTAATAATTAGCGTCCTTTAAGAAGTTGCACAGTTTTTAAGGATATTTTTTTGTCAATAATAACCTCTTTAATGAAGATAGAGATGAATGTTTTCAGAAAAGATGAATAGTGAACATGAAAACACGTAATTTATTTATTAACGAAATGAGAGTAATAATGGAAAAATATGTACAAAAGATCCAAAACGTCATTTATTTTGTTAATCTATATCTATATTATAATAAGAATTACTATTTTTAAAAAATGGCAAGTCAATTTTTGGTCAAATACAAATAACATTAATTACATGCTATTAGTAGGTATTTTTTTTTTCGCCCGCATTAATGTTGGCCTAACAAAGTGTTTGTTAATTTCTATGCATAAGATAAGATGGGGCTGTTACTTTTAAACTTTCACAAAATCAACAAAAAATTTTTTAAAGGAAAATTATGTATCACAATTGCAATTTTTTTTAGATAAAAAAGAATTTATGGCTAATTTAATAATAAAATTTTCTTTAGTATTTTTAAAAATCAGAATTTTTTTACACCAAATCGGTTAATACAATTGATTTAAATGTCGGGTTTATTTTTTTAATAAAAATAACATACGGGTAATTTAATATTCAAAAATATAAAAAACAAATTTTGTTTTGTTTTTTCGATTTTATTTTTCTAACCACTAAATTTGCCAGTTATACTTTGATTGCTAAAAAAATGAGAAACTTTTTTAACATCAAATCGGCTAATCCAATTATTTTAAATGTTGGATTTTTATTTTTTTTAATAAAGATAAATTACAACTTATTTAATAATCAAAATATAAAAAAAAATATTATTTATTTGATTTTTTTTAACCAGTAAATATGACAGTTATGTCTTGATTGCTCAAACAATCAGAAACTTTTTTAACATCAAATCGGCTAATACTATTGTTTTGAATGTCGGCTATTAGTTTATAATATAAATATATTACTGATTTAATAATCAAAATATAAAAAAAAAAAACGTGAGTTATACAAATTTAGATATGTCACATATAATCACCTAAAATAATGAATCTATATGTATCTATTTATCTATCTATATATAATAATAAGAATAACCATTTACCAAAAATAGTAGCAAAAAATATGTAAGAATTTAATGCAACCTATAAATAGTAAATTTTATTATTATTCTGATTTTTTATTTAAAAATCATACAACATTAAATGCTACCTTAAATTTGGGCATTTTATTATTTAAAAAATTTGGCTAAGATCAATTAAATGTGCATGTTTTATTTTTTATTTTTTTTAAAAATAACGAACAACATTAAAATCTCGGTTTCTACATTCATAAAATTTCAATTGAAAATATAACAAGAGTTTTAGAATCTCGATCTTTACGTGCCTTTAAAAAAATATTGAACGCTAAAAATATTCTTTAAATTACATAATCAATCATTTAATCTTTATTTTTTTAAATATCACTATGTTAATTTTTATTAATATGCATAAACTAAAAATAATTAATTCATTTTTTGATGTATAATTATGATTTTAATATACTATCATTTGGCGTAGACATTTATCATATGAATCATAAAATATATTTAATTCATAAATTAAATATATTTAAAGAAAATAAGGAAATTTCTTTAGATTAATTGGGTGATTGATTAAGGTAATGCCCAGGTTGATTGAATTTTAAAAATTATGTAATATTTAAAATAGTCAAAAAAAAAAACTTGACACAACTTGGTTGGTCCTAGATGACTAAATTGTGTATCAGTTTGACATAACCAAATCGATTATTGAACCTAAATATAAATTTTAATATTGAAAATACTTTATTACGTGAATGTGATGTAGTCTAAACTTCAAATAATTGTAGTAACAATACTTTATGACAACATGTTAAATGATTTATAAATATTTATATATCATTTTATTCATATTTAGTGAATTAAATAATATTTTATTATAATATTTATTAATGTATAATAAATATAAAGTTTTCAGAACCAGACCGTCATCGAAACGATCAAGTTATTTTATTTATCATGTGTGGTTTGTTCAGATTTTAATTTATAAACATTATATATATATAATTAAATACATAAATAATTTATAAGTTCAAATGTTTAAACAAATTAATAAATAATTTATAAATCTCTATTTTATTTAAATATGTAATTCTATTAAAATAATTTTAAAAGTAACTA